ATGGGTTGTGTCTCCCGAAGGACGTTTTGGTCGTCGACCTGCGTCTCCCAAAGGACGCTCTTTATGGGCAATTGTGTGACTATCCTGCCTCCCTTAGGAAACGGATAGAGACCTAGATACCTCCCTTAGGAAATTCCTGGCGCACCCTGCGTCTCCCTTAGGACCCTTCTTATGAGCTGCGTCTCCCAAAGAACGCTTTGGTCGTCGCCCTGCGTCTCCCGAAAGATGCTCCTTATGGGCAACTGTGTGACTATCCTACCTCCCTTAGGAAACGGATAGGAACCTGGATCCCTCCCTTAGGAAATTCCTGGCGCACCCTGCGTCTCCCTTAGGACGCTTCTTATGGGCTGCATCTCCCAAAGGACGCTTTGGTCGTCGCCCTATGTCTCCTGAAGGACGCTCCTTATGGGCAACTGTGTGACTATCCTGCCTCCCTTAGGAAACGGATAGGAACCTGGATACCTCCCTTAGGAAATTCTTGGCGCATCCTGCGTCTCCCTTAGGACGCTTCTTATGGGCTACGTCTCCCGAAGGACGCTTTAGTCATCGCCCTGCGTCTCCCAAAGGACGCTCCTTATAGGCAACTGTGTGACTATCCTGCCTCCCTTAGGAAATGGATAGGAACCTGGATACCTCCCTTAGGAAATTCCTGGCGCATCCTGCGTCTCCCTTAGGACGATTCTTATGGGCTGCGTCTCCCGAAGAACGCTTTGGTCGTCGCCCTGCGTCTCCCAAAGGACGGTCATTATGGGCAACTGTGTGACTATCCCACCTCCCTTAGGAAATGGATAGGAACCTGGATACCCTCCTTAGGAAATTCCTGGCGCACCCTGTGTCTCCCTTAGGACGCTTCTGGTCATCGCCCTGCGTCTCCCAAAGGACGCTGCTTATGGGCAACATATATTGAGACATTCTGGTATGAGTAGACAGATAAGACATTCTGGAATGAGAAACTAAACTTATATTGATATTTATAAGGTTACAGTGCTTTATTCGAGAATGAAAATAACTGGATACAAAAAAACCAGAAGCTTCTAGCAGTTGCTTCTCTTCTTCAGAGATGTGTAGGGCTCAGTCATTTGCTTGGGACTGAGGAGGAAGCGTCATGGATAATACTTTCGGAGATGGTAAGCGTTCCACTGTCGTGGAAATTCCTTCCCTTCCATGGTGTCTAGTGTGTAGCTCCCCCTGCCCCCGGACCGGCTGACTACATAAGGGCCCTCCAGTGAGGATTCATCTTTTTTGACCTTTGCCTTGGTGCAGGGATGAAAGCCTTTCTTAGCACGAGATTGCCTGGTTGAAACTGTCTGACCTTGGCTCTTTTGTCGTAGTAAGACTTCAACTGTTGTTGATAGGAGGCGACTCAGACAATAGTCTTCTCTCGTTCGCCCTCAAGCAAGTCGAGGTTGAGCTTCATCTGCTCGGAGTTCTGATCAACACTGCCCACCTCAATGCTTATGGAGGGGACAGTGATGTGAGGAGGGATGATCGCTTCCGTCCCATAGGCGAGGGAAAATGGGGTTTCGCCAGTCGATCTCCGTTTGGTGGTGCGATAAGCCCACAGTACTCCGGGGAGTTCATCCACCCATTTCCCTTCGGTGCCTTCTAGCCTTTTCTTCAAGCAGTCTAATATGACTTTATTGGATGCCTCAGCTTGTCCATTTCCTTGTGGATACCTCGGGGTGGACAGGTGTTGCTTGATCTTGTATTTTGCAAAGAAGGCGGTGATGTGCTTGCCGATGAATTGTGAGCCATTGTCGGTCACTAATGACTGTGGGCAGCCAAATCGGCAGATGATGTTTTTTCAGATGAATCGCTCCACATCAACTTCTTTAGTAGAGGATAGAGCTTCTGCCTCGATCCATTTAGTAAAGTAGTCGGTGGCAACGATCATCATGTCCTTTTTGGCGGGCGCCAGCGGCAGAGGACCTACTAAGTCAATGGCCCATTGCATAAATGGCCATGGACTGTTTTGTGGACGGTAAACTTCGGCATGCAGGTTAGGAATTGGCTTGTATCGCTGGCAGCGATCACATTTCTTGACATATTCAGTGGAGTCGTGGCGCATGGTAGGCCAGAAGTAGCCTATGTTTATAGCCTTCTGGGCGAGTGATCTGCCCCCAGAGTGGTTGCCACACTCGCCATCGTGAATTTTGCAAAGGACCTCGAGTGTTTGAGGGTACTTTATGCAGGTAAGATGAGGGCCGTAGTATGATATGCGGATGAGCTTGTTGCCGTGCATGTAGTATCTCGCGACTTTCTGCTGGACTTTTCTAGCTTCGGACTTGTCCGTTGGTAGATTTCCATTCATTAGGTAGTCGATGATGGGGTCTTGCCAGCTGGGGTCCTCGTCAATCTGCATTGCATCGATTGGCTCTATTTCTTCGATGCTTGGTCGGTCTAGGTGCTCGACCGGGATGGAGCGTCTGAATTGGGTATCCAGCGCGGACCCTAGGCTTGCCAGGGAGACGCATGCGCGTTCTCTACTCGAGGCACCTGTTGGATGGTGAAGGTAGGAAACGCCTTCAATAGCTCTTGGACTTTGTCAAGGTACAAGATCATCCTTGGGTGCTTCGCCATGTATTCACCTGAGGCTTGATTCGTGATCAACTGAGAATCTGAGTAGACGGCTAGTTTCTTGATCGCTAGCTCCTTTGCCAAGCGCAGGCCAGCAAGCAATGCCTCGTATTCTGCCTCGTTGTTTGAGGTTGGGAAACCAAGCGAGATGGCTTGCTCTAATAGGGTTCCCTCTGGGGTGATGATGACGACGCCTGCTCCCTCTCCTTTTTGGTTCGACGCTCCGTCTACGCGCAATTCCCACATATCTGTGGGTTGGCTAGGTTCAACGGATGTGCCATCTGCTTTTGAACTTTCCTTCTTATGGTTGACCAGCTTCTCTTCTTCAGCTGGTGAGGTGAATTCTGCCACAAAGTCTGCTAGAACCTGAGCTTTTATTGCAGTTTTTGGCTGGTAGAGGAGGTCATAATGGCTTAGCTCTATAGCCCACTTCATGAGTCGTTGAGAAGCGTCAGGGCTGTGAAGTATTGATCTCAAAGGAAAGTCGGTCATGACGATGACTCGGTGAGCTTGGTAGTAGGGTCATACCTTTCTTGCGGAAACTACAAAGGCCAAAATAAGCTTTTCCAATTTTGGGTAGCGAGTCTCTGCATCGAGGAGAGCTTTTGACGTGTAGAATACCGGATGTTGGGCCCCTAGTTCTTCTCGAATGAGAGCTGAGCTAACGGCCGAGTTGGACACTGCCAGGTACATGAACAAGTCCTCGCCTGGAACTGGTTTTGAGAGCAGGGGAGGTGAAGTGAGGTAAGTCTTCAGATTCTAAAAAGCTACTTCGTACTCCTCATCCCACTTGTCTCTTTGTCCTTTTTTCAAAGCTTTGAAAAATGGTCTGCACTTGTCGGTGGATCTCGAGAGGAATCGGTTGAGGGCCGCTGCTCTACCCGTCAGACTTTGTATTTCCTTCATTGTGGAAGGCGACTTCATCTCGAGAATGGCCTTGATTTGTCGTGGGTGTGCCTCGATGCCTCGTTGGGTGACTAGGTATCCCAAGAATCGACCGGACGATACACCAAACGTGCATTTACTTGGGTTCAACTTCATGCGATACTGGCGTAGCAGGTTGAATGCCTTAGCGAGGTTTTCGATGTGATCTGCACGTTTGGGGGCTTTGACCAGCATGTCGTCCACGTAGACTTCCATAGTTCTGCTGATCTGCTCTTTGAAGATTTTATTTACGAGCCTTTGATAGGTCACTCTAGCATTCTTCAGCCCAAAAGGCATAACCTTGTAGCATTAGGTCCCTCTCTCGATGATGAAAGAGGTTTTCGCCTTGTCATCCTCGTGCATCAGGATTTGATTATAGCCTGAGTAGGCGTCCATGTAGTTGAGCAGCTGATTGCCGGAGGTCGAATCCACAAGTTGGTCGATTCTTAGTAATGGGAAGTTGTCCTTAAGGCATGCCTTGTTGAGGTCGGTATAATCGACGCAAACTCTCCACTTGCCCTTTCTTGTTTTGCCACCAAAACAACGTTGGCCAACCATTCTAAGTAGGAGACTTCTTCGACGAAGTCGGCTGCTAGGAGTTTGTCAATCTCGGCTTCAATGATCGCTACCCGCTCCGAAGTGAAGTTGCATCTCTTCTGCGCTACAGGTTTGCTTGCAGGGTTGACGTGGAGTCGATGGCAGATGATCTTTGGGTCGATGCCAAGCATGTCAGATGGTGACCATGCGAACATGTCCTTGTTGTTCTGGAGGAAGGTGGTCAGCCCCACCTTCTCGTCTGGCTTAGGCGCGAGCCGATCCGCGCTTTTCTGTCTAGCTGGTCAGGATCCAAGGGTATTAGCTCGACGTCCTCTTCGGGTTTCCATCCTTCTTCAGGAGAGACCTCCGAACGGATTTCCTCGACTTGGTCCTGACGCTTTGATTGCTATAATTGGATAGCTATTCCCTTCCCCTTCTGGCTTGCTCGGTTGCTAGGAGAGGGGTCTGGTTGTTCTACTCCCTCCAGATCTGCTTGATTCACAGGGAGGAACTGTGTTGGCTTGCTTTTCTTCAGCCCTTGAGCTGAGCATTTCCTCGCCATTGCCTGGTCGCTGTTGATCTGGCCGACTCCGCCCCCAGGAATTGGGTAGCGGATTTTCTGATGAGTGGCGGAGGTGATGGCGTTGATCTTCCCAATCCACGGTCTGCCCAGGATGCCATTGTAGGGTGGGACTTCATCAATGACCATGAATGTTTGTGAGCAGATTACAAGTGGGACTTCATCAATGACCATGAACGTCGAGATCTATTGTGCCCACGGTAACCGTCGTTGCGCAATTGAAGCCAGTCAGCGACCTGGCTGATTTGTTGATTTTTGCTTCCAAGCCCATCTGCTGGATGACAGCCAACTGCAGGATATTGGTTGCGCTGCCTTCGTCCACATGGATTCGGTCGACTATGGCCTGAGCGATTTGGATGCTGACGCCGATCAGATCTTTCTTCTAGAAGCCGATCACAGGGTCGTCTTTCGCCTGTGGAAGGTCGGTCAAGACTTGGGAGACCACAATGGCCTGTTTGATCTTCCTCTTCTTTTCTTTGTTGGTCAGCCCAGACTCCTCGGAGTCGGCGAGGATTGTGTTAATCCTTATGACCTTCTGAGGTGGCTCTTGGGTGGTGTCGCGATCCTCTATCCGTTGGATGGCTTGCTTCGCAATGAACTCCGTACAGTGACCTTCTCTCACGAGTTCTTCAAGGTGCGTTTTCCAAGCAAAGCAGTTGTTTGTTGTGTGTCAGTGCGTCCCATGGAAGGCACATTATTTTCTAGTATCCCTCTTGTCCGGATCTCCTTTCAAGGGCGGCGGCCTTCTTACCCAAGGTTTGTCCTTCACTTGGGATAAGATTTGGTGTATGGGGATGGAGAACTTGGTGTGACTCTCTCCTGCCGTAGCGTCCTCTTTTGGGTGAGACCTGCGCTTGTCTTTGTTCCTATTGCCGAACCCGTCGTTCTTTTGGCCTGCCCGCTTGGTTGGTTGATCTTCCTGCTTAGTAGACTTCTTTGCGGCGATTCGATCGTCATCCCAGAGCACATAGCGTTCCGCAGTTGCGAAGACCTCTGCCAGAATCTGGCTGGGAGCGATAGTCAGCTCGCGGTATAAGTTGTGTTCAGCGGGAAGGCCTTTCTTGAAAGCAGAGGACGCGATCCGGTCGTCACATCCTACGATGTTGGCCTTTTCTGCTTTGAATCTCTTGATGTAGTCTCGAAGGGATTTGTCGGACTTCTTGCGTAAGTTGAACAAGTGGTCGGGGTTCTTCTTGATTGTTCGGTAAAACGTGTATTCTTTGGCGAAGACGTATGCCAGCTCCTTAAAGCTGTTGATCAACCCGGATGGTAGGGTGTGGAACCAGTCTTGAGCTGCTCCCCGTAGGGTCATCACAAACACCTTGCACATCAGTGCGTCGTCGGCCTTGTGGAGGATCATGACACTTTTGAAGTGTTTTAGGTGACTTTCGGGATCGGAGTCCCCTTTGAAGTGAGTAAACGAAGGCGTTGAGAACCGCTTCGGGGGAGCCGCCTGCTCAATTTCGACAGTGAAAGGCGTGGAATTCGCTTGGTCCATCTCCTTGCGTAGGGCATCTTCGAAGTTCCCGCCGACTTTCAAGTCCTGTAGTTGGTCATTCACAAGCTTCTTGACGTCTTCTGCACGCATTGCCGGTTGGACACGTTGGCGATCCTCACGATTTGGGCGACGCTGATTGACCTCCTCGTTGACTCACAAGGTTCGAGCTTCTCGACTGCGTTGCCTAGGCGGCGTGTTGGTGGGCTGCGCTTGCGAATGATCCTCCATAGCTTGTCGACGAGAGTTGGTTCTTCGAGAGTGAGCAGCGGAGCGCCTTTCCTCGTCATCCTCACCGTGAAGGTTGTCAGGTTGACCTCTCTGGGAGCCTAGCCTTTGAGGAGCATTCCTCTACGGGCCTAGGCGGTCGCAGACGTCGAGTCGTGGGCCCAGCCTTCCTCGCACGTTGCTCTGAGTGTGGCTTGCGGATGCTTGTGACATGTTGGCGAGCTGATCACGTTGTTGTCCCTCTCCTTGTCTGCTCATTCCTGCTCGACCTGCTCGGCACCCGTCGAGCTGCCTGTTGGCACAGTCGTCCATCCTTCTCTCTTCGCCCAGTGGTCCAAGGTCGAGGTTTTGAGCCAAATTCATCTGGTTGAGGAGTTGCCTCATCAAGTTGCTTTGGTCATAAATTCTCTGAGCTAGCTGGTCAACTCTCAGATTAAGATCTGCTTGACTTCGTGGATCGAGAGGAGAGAAGTGTGTGGAGCCCAACTGCATACGGGCTAGGGTTTCCTGGGAGGTGTACGCGGGAGCGTGCGTCGAGCGTGCATGCAACGGAGGGAACGCTTGAAGTTGCTCCAAGATTGGGCCTAGGTCGGCGGTGGTAACGAGCCCACCTTGATGGGAGGTTCCACCATGCTCGGCGGTGGAGCCACAAGGGTGGCCAGATCCGGCCAAGGGGCCTTGGGCGACTGCGGTGACCGGCGCGGTGGTGAGAGGTGGTGGCGCCACCATGTCGATCGCAGGATCATGGGTGGAGCGGCTTTGGGCCGTCGCGGATTGAGCCCTTGCGGCGGCTTTGCCTCTCGTCATCTTGCTTCCAACCATGGTTGTTTGGAAGGCTTTGGTGGATTGGAAAATAGGTTTGGAGCACGCTTTGAGTATATCTCGTGCTCTCAATGAAAGCACCAATTTGTGGGAGCAAATTTCCTCCCACGAGAATATTCGGTTGAAAGATTCCTTCGTCTTCTCCGCTTCTCTTTCTCCCTGCAAAATGAATAGCAATAAGAGGACCACACCCGGGGGGTGTTGGCCAAA